GAACTACAAGGGCTTACATTTTGTAGTCTTCTTTTTACAACAAGAAGTTTCAAATGGTAAATTTTTGTAGGAAAGTATTGGGGCGTAATTTTTGGCTTGTTTTTTTCTTAATGTACACAGTATTCTTTGAAAAACACGATACTCAAAAACATGTTTGTTATTTCTTGTAGAAAAATAAGGATTTTGCAGTTAAGCTCCGCCCTCTTGGCTCACAACGAATAAAAAAATCATCACAATTGCAACAGGGCGGGTGGGCGGGGCTTACTCACTGGCTTCTTTTTCTTAATGTATAGTGTTTATTTTCAATGACATGATACATAAAACATATTTCTAACCCCGAATTCGACATTTGAAATCTTAAGGGCCGGTTTATAGAAGCGCGAGTTAAATATTTAATCCTCGATTAATTTAACACTGGATTAAAATGTGGAATGGGAGCTCGTGATTGGTTAAAACCTGCACGTCGCCTAGCAACGAACCTCAATTAAAAGTTAATCGCGAATTAACTTTAACTTCGGTTTCTATAAACCAGGTCTAGGACCTAGAAACGGTTTCTATAAACCGGCCCTAAGTATTTTATTATTGAAATGGATAAGCCCCACCCACCCACCCCGTCTCGATTGTGATGAATTTTTTTATTGGTCGTAGACCGAGGGGTGGAGCTTAACTGCAAAGTCTATATTTCTGTACAAGAAATTACGGAGTGATATATGTTTGAAGCATTATCGTCTTCTTTTGAGAAAAAACAGGGAACGGAGAAGAGAAAAAACTTTACAAAAATAAAACTTTACAAAATTTTGCATTTTTTTATTTTTAATATTTTTTTCTTAATATACAGTTTTCTTTCATTAACACGATCTTGAAACATGTTTCACATAGTAATTTCTTGTAAAGAAATATGGACTTTGCGGTTAAGCTCCACCCCTCGGTCTCACGACGAATAAAAAAATTCATCACAATTGAGATGGGGCGGGTGGGCGGGGCTAACCTATTTCAGTAAGAAAATACTTAAAATATCAAATATGAATTCCCCGGTAAACTCTATACATTAAGAAAAAGGAACCAATAATTAAGCCCCAACCAGCCGCCCCTATATCAATTGCAATAAAATTTTCATTGATTGTCACTTTAATGGGGCGGAGCTTAATTGCCTTCATATCAATAATGTTTTACATGTTCATTCTTTTCCACATATGTATCTAACTGCAAAACCTTTTTTTTTTCTTAATATACATAGCCATCTTTTCATAACAAGAAACTTAAAACATGGTTAAAATGGTAATTTTTGCAAGGAAATATGGATTTTGCAATTATGGGGCGGAGCATAATTCCAAAATCGATATTTTCTTATACAAATTTTCCATTTTAACCATGTTTTAAGTTTAATGTAGTGAAAGAAGTCTACACATATTAAAACACAAAGACAAATGTAAGCCCGCCCACCCGCCCTATCTCAATTGTGATGATTTTTTTTATTCGCTGTTAACCAAAGGGGCGGAGCTTAACTGCAATGTACTTATTTTTTTACAAGAAATTAAAAACATGTTTTTGAGTATCGTGTTATAAACCCCACCCACCCACCCCATCTCAATTGTGATGATTTTTTTATTCTTAGAAAGTTAAGACACGTTTAAAATGGTAAATTTTTGTAGGAAAATATGAATTTTGCAATTAGCTTCCGCCCCTCGGTATGACAACGAATAAAAAATTCATCACAATAGAGATAGGGCGGGTGGGCGGGGCTTATATTTTGCCGTTTTTTTAATATGTGTAGATTTATTTCGACAACAATAAACTTAAAATAGTAAATTTGTATAGGGAAATATAGCTTTTGCAATTATGCTCCGCCCCTCGGTCTGACAACGAACGAAAAATTCCTCACGATTGAGATTGAAACAGATGGATGGAGCTTCTCCTTTGGTTTCCTTTTTTTGTTAAATAATACATTTATTTTTGTTTGTATAACACGCTTACTTGAAAACATATTTCACATGATAATTTCTAGTAGAAAAATAAGGATTTTACAATTAAGCTCCGCCCCTCGGATTACCATGAATAAAAAAAATCATCGGAATTGAGATAGGGCGGGTGGGCGGAGCTTATATTGTACCTTTTTTTTTCTTAATATCGCATGTTTTCAGAACAAGAAACTTAAAACATGGTTAAAATGGTAATTTTTGCAAGGAAATATGGATTTTGCAATTATGGGCCGGAGCATAATTGCAAAATCGATATTTCCTTATACAAATTTTCCATTTTACCCATGTTTTAAGATTCATGTAGTGAAAGAAGTCTACACATATTAAAACACAAAGACAAATGTAAGCCCGCCCACCCACCCTGTCTCAATTGTGATGATTTTTTTATTCGCCATGAATCAAGGGGGCGGAGCTTAACTTCAAAGTAGTTATTTTTTTACAAGAAATCAAAAACATGTTTTTGAGTATCGTGTTGTTTAAAGAATACAATGTATATTAAGAAAAGACAAAGCAAAATATAAACCCCGCCCACCCACCCAATCTCAATTGTGATGATTTTTTTATTCTTAGAAAGTTAAAACACGTTTAAAATGGTACATTTTTGTAGGAAAATATAAATTTTGCAATTAGCTTCCGCCCCTCGATATGACAACCAATAAAAAATTCATCACAATAGAGATAGGGTGGGTGGGCGGGGCTTATATCGTGCCTTTTTTTTTCTAAATACACATAGGCATTTTTTCGCAACAAGAAACTTAAAACATGGTTAAAATGTTACATGTTTGCCAGGAAATACGGATTTTGCAGTTATGGGGAGGAGCCATTCCATTTTAAACATGTTTTAGGTTTCATCTTATGAAAAGCATACACGTATTAAAACAAAAAAGCAAAATGTAAGCCCGCCCACCCGCCCTGTCTCAATTGTGATGATTTTTTTATTCGCCGTGAATCAAGGGGGCGGAGCTTAACTGCCAAAATACTTACTTCTTTACAACAAATTAAAAACATGTTTTTGACTATCGCGTTGTTCAAAGAATACTATGTATATTTAGAAAAATAAATATGTATAAACCCCGCCCACCCGCCCCATCTCAATTATGATGATCCTTTTTATTCTTAGAAACTTGAAACACGTTTAAAATGGTTTTTTTTTGAGGAAATATGGATTTTGCAATAAGCTCCACCCCTAGGTGTCTGCCAACGAATGAAAATTTCATTACTATTTAGGGCTTAATCCTTGCCTGTAATTTTTTCTTAATATACACAGTATTCTTTCAATAACACCATACTCAAAAACATGTTTTTAATTTCTCGTAGAGAAATAAGGATTTTGCAGTTAAGCTCCGCCCTCTTGACGCACGACGAATAAAAAAATCATCACAATTGAGACAGGGTGGGTGGGCGGGGCTTATATTTTGCCTGTTTTTTCTGAAAATGTGCAGACTTATTTTGACAATAAGAAACTTAAAACATGTCTAAAGTGGTACATTTTTGTAGAAATCAACTTAAATCGGCCACTTTTCGTGTACAACCCCTTTAAATACGACAAAAGTTGAAAATTAGAGTTACTATCAAGAACGACTTTAAGATCTCCAAAAATAATGTCGGATTTCTGGAACTTAGGCAACCAACTATTTTGTACCTTCTACTGACGCAAAACTGGGTGCATACGTATCCTATTTGTAAAATTAAAAATCCCTCCATGGATAAGTATTCCATTTTTTTTTTTTTTTTTTGTAAAAATGGAAGTAAGTAAACAGCTACTTGTGCAACAAGTATGATAATGAACAACTTTTGCATTGCGTGCGTACCAGAAAAGTTGTCTAAACCAGATATGGTGTAATTATTCTACAATAATCGATTTATTGTTCAACTCTTCATGCACCTGCGTCACGTTTCGGAAACTGACGTCTTTTCGCCCGAGGGAAAATTATGGAGGTCGTCGATGCACTCAAACGAATAAAATTTTTAGCCAATTATGAGATTTTACGTAGGGTTATCCAGTTCACCGCAAATTTACCACACAGTTCTAGAAATTCCATTGAACAATAACCCAAGTTATAAATAAAACATACTTTGATTAATTAACTGTATGTTACGAAATTTAAAAATATCGCTATTACAAAATATAATAAAAGATGTGAAATGTTTCTCGGAGATAATAAAAATCCCAAGTACAAACAATAACAACGGTAATTTCGATTTGTATATTTTGCTTGCCATATTTTAGCCGAGCGTGAACTTGCGAAAACATTGTTTGAAATAAAGTAAGAACACCCCAAACAATGTTAACATTGAAACGTCCAGTGTGTTTTAAAGCTGATTGAAATTTATTTTCCAAGACAAAATCCGGCTCTAAATTTAGCTTAATTATCGTCAAATCAAGCTAGACAAGCTCCTAAATTTCCACAAAACGAAAAAAATCCGCCGTCATAATTCACAGAAACGACTGAACTTTGCATTGATAAACTAAACAAACATGTTATTAACGAAATAATTATTATCTAAACCTGATTTTTATAGTAGTCGCAAGAAAAATTAAAACAGCAGCAACTGTGTACTTTGTAATTAACCAATAAATTACTTACACGAACACAATAAATAATAATGAAGGTTCGTATTAGGGTACAAAGTCCAAACTAAAATAACCTGGCAGATGCAGGCTGACGTTTAGTAAATAGGACGCGGACTGTTTGAAGTCATAAAAAAACTAATTGTGGAGTATCGCATACCCGCGATTCGAATTACGCGCCGATTTTAGCGGTGACGTCACGGACGAAATGAGGGCGCCAAATTCGAAACAAACGCAACAATTTTGCGTTTTTTGCTCAGAACGACACGAAATTAAACCAGAAATAAATATATTTTTCTCGAGTGAGATCTTCTCGGAAAAGTACGCCCGTCTTCAAAAAAACGCTTTGTTTTTCTGGGCGCCGGCCAGTGAGCCTACCTCTGCGCCACGACCCCACCTTCCCCCTCTGCGCAGCCTACATCGATCCCATTTATACCAAGCCCGGCTGGCGTTGTTTACCACACCGTTCGAGAACCGTTGCGCGAAAGTGTAGCTCTCGAGACCGCGTCGTGTAAATGCCCCACAGCGAAGTGCGGTAGACGCATTTTGGTACCTCACCCTCAAGTTCCGCAATACAGTAAATCTGGCGACGGAAATCAGATACAGACTTGGAATGCGACACATCCTCAAAAAATTCATAATACACACGTCCTCCGACCACTTCTCCGAGGAAGGCAGCCACATTTAGCTGCAATTCTTTGTTTTCGTTTGAGTGCGTCCGGTAAAAGTGTGCTTGGATTGTTTCTTTGAATCGACTAGTGTAGATCCGAATTCATTCAGGAAGTGTTCTTTTTCTACAGTCGTACAACAGCCGAACCGCAAAATGGCTTCGATTAAGCGCCAGGCCAAACACGACGAATGCAAAGGTAAAATAGGGCAAAGAGAATGGTTGCAGTGCAATTAAAATAAAAGCTTGTTTATCGCATCGGTTGAATATGGGCTGTCACTCTTCCGGTTGCGGATCGATGCGCGCATGCGCAGCCACTCGGCAACTTGTGCTAATCCTACCCTAGCTCAATACTAACTGTAACCCCGCTGTAATCGCCAATTATCATAAATATAACGTGCTAATTTCGCAAATAACGAAGGTCGATCAACTCTTTCAGGCTGAAAATAGTGTTGTTCAAGGGCGGTTTTTGTTCCCGTTATCCACTTTCTTGTTTGGCGGATTTCCAATAGTGACAAAAGGGGAATTTTGACCTAAAGTTGTTTATTATTTGTCTTTTTCTAATAGGGGGAGATAAGTATAACGAGGATTACATTATAGCCAATAAAGTTTTATGGCTTGTAACGACCACAACAAATTACCTATTTATATCAGGATTACGTTGATTGTTTGTAACGAGATAATCAAAAGTGGTTCGATTTGCAGTCAAACATAATCGAACTGTCAAATCATCGCCAGAGTATATGCAAATTTCGGCTTCCTGGTGGAATGGGTTTGAGGTAAAGACGTCATTGCAGACATTGAAATCCGGCTTCCGGGTCTAAATTGGCGCTCAATGCTAATTCAAAGTTAACTAAAAGTCGAAATTTAGTTCCGGACATTTCTCCCCCCTACACGTCATTAAAATGCAATTGGGACTTGTTTACACCGGATGAAAATAAAATTTTCCAACAATTTTGCTTTAGTTCAAGGTTATCAGCTTTCAAAGCGATTTCCTGAGTTGTTACTAAGAAATTGTGTCCACGATGCAGTTAGAACACGCTCTTGAAAATTTTCCTAGGTCTAAATTTAAACCTGAGCGACGTTACTCAGTAACATGACTTATCTGTCACCTGCTTCTAATCTTTTTTTAATGACTTATTTAGACCACTCGAGCTCCATTGTTGTTAAATCTCGGTTGAAATCAATAACCAAGCGCTCTTCACGTGAACGCGGACCCTATCTAATAAAAAAATTGCATCCGCCATCATCCAATCAAAAATCGGCTGGCTAAAATCCGACCTAATTGTGCTTTACACGTGTACGGGTTGCGCAAAGCGAGCAAAGTCTTTAAAAATTGCAAGCATTGACATTTGGTATTGGTGTCATTGCGATTATCGGAGGTCTTTGCCACGGTTGCGATTAATCCGAGGCGCCAAATTCAAATCGGACGCCGAATGGTGCGCTTGGTGAACCGTTGCACAATTGGGAGCACGTGTGTGAAATGTCGGGCTCTATTTCTGGGAGTGCAACAATGCGCTCTATTTGGGCTCTGGCGTCAGTTGGTCTAGTCCAAAGATCATTCTATTTCCACGCTTGGCGCGCCCAAAATCACCCGATTTTTATTCCGACTGTCTTATTTTCGTCGGCTTCCAGAAAACACTCCTGAATTTATCGCTGTACAAATATTTGGGAACGCAGCGAAGGTTGAAAAGAGAAAGTTCGATTCTCGTTCGAGTAAAAATAAGTCGTTGACATTTGCCTACGCAACAATTGTATAATCGATAATCCAATTAAAGAATCTTTGAAATATTTTGAACAGAATTTTAAAAACCTTTTTAACCTTTGAGTCCTTTAGAACTTTTGAAAGGTTTGAAACCTTTTAAATATTTCAAACATTTGGAAACTTTGAAATTTTTTGAATATCTACAATCTTAACTTTTGAAATTTTGAGATTTAATATTTTTTTATTTTCTTTTAATTTTTGGGAATTTTCGGAATTGCAAAATTTTCAAAATTTCCAGAATGTTCAGATTTTCCAGATTAACCCAATTTTTCAGATTTTCGAAAGTACACAAAATGACCAGAATTTCCACATTTTGCAAAATTTCTAAAATTATCAGGCACCATACCAGAATTCTGAAATTCAACTTTTCCAATATTTTCAAAATTTCTAGGTCTACCACATTTTCCCCCCACTTTCTAAATTTTTTCTGAGTTTCTAAAATTTATAGATCTTAAGAGTCTAAATCTTTGGAATTTTTTTAATCTTTGAAGCATTTTTCCGATCTTTACGATGTTTAGGTCTTTGAGATTTTTGTTTTCTTTGGAATTTTTAAAATCTTTGGCATTTTAAGAGTTCACGCGATTTTTACAAGTTTCAGAATCTTTGTCTTTTTTGTCTAAAACCTTTAGAATCTTTCAAGTATTCTAAACAGAATTTTGGTTTTTGACCCCTTGGAGTCCTTAGGGTCTTTAGACTCTTTAGAGCCTTCTGATCTGTGGAAATTTTGAACACTTTGGGAATTACTAGGAGTTTTATAAAGCCTAAAATTTCTGCAATTTCTAGAATCATTAGTCCCCCAGGTTCTTCAAAATTTTTAAGATTTTGTTGGATCTTTTTTATATTTAGAACATTAGAACTTTGGTTTATTTAGAGTCTTAAGTGTCTTTACAATTCGCAATTTCTAGTGTATGTAATCCGTGAAAGCTTTTATCCTTTTTGAATCTTTCAAACCACTGGAAACTTTAGAATCTTTAGAATCTCCAGAAACTAGAATCATTAGAATTTCTATAATCTTTAGAGCTTTCAGATTTGCATTATTTTTAGATATTTCAGTACTTCTAGAACTTCAAATATTTTTAAAACTTTGGGATTTTTATCATCCGTTTCTTCTATTTAGAACCTAAAATTTTAGTTTATTTAGCATCTTTGGTGTCTTTACAATTCGAAAATTCTAGTGTATGAAATCTTTAAGATTTTTAGAATGTGTTGAGTCTTTAGAACTTTTGAAAGGTTTGAAACCTTTTAAATATTTCAAACATTTGGAAACTTTGAAATTTTTTGAATATCTACAATCTTAACTTTTGAAATTTTGAGATTTAATATTTTTTTATTTTCTTTTAATTTTTGGGAATTTTCGTAATTGCAAAATTTTCAAAATTTCCAGAATGTTCAGATTTTCCAGATTAACCCAATTTTTCAGATTTTCGAAAGTACACAAAATGACCAGAATTTTGAAATTCAACTTTTCCAATATTTTCAAGATTTCTAGGTCTACCACATTTTCCCCCCACTTTCTAAATTTTTTCTGAGTTTCTAAAATTTATAGATCTTAAGAGTCTAAATCTTTGGAATTTTTCTAATCTTTGAAGCATTTTTCCGATCTTTATGATGTTTAGGTCTTTAAGATTTTTGTTTTCTTTGGAATTTTTAAAATCTTTGGCATATTAAGAGTTCACGCGGTTTTTACAAGTTTCAGAATCTTTGTCTTTTTTGTCTAAAACCTTCAGAATCTTTCAAGTATTCGAAACAGAATTTTGGTTTTTGACCCCTTAGAGTCCTTAGGGTCTTTAGACTCTTTAGAGCCTTCTGATCTGTGGAAATTTTGAACACTTTGGGAATTACTAGGAGTTTTATAAAGCCTAAAATTTCTGCAATTTCTGGAATCATTAGTCCCCCAGGTTCTTCAAAATTTTTAAGATTTTGTTGGATCTTTTTTATATTTAGAACATTAGAACTTTGGTTTATTTAGAGTCTTAAGTGTCTTTACAATTCGCAATTTCTAGTGTATGTAATCCGTGAAAGCTTTTATCCTTTTTGAATCTTTCAAACCACTGGAAACTTTAGAATCTTTAGAATCTCCAGAAACTAGAATCATTAGAATTTCTATAATCTTTAGAGCTTTCAGATTTGCATTATTTTTAGATATTTCAGTACTTCTAGAACTTCAAATATTTTTAAAACTTTGGGATTTTTATCATCCGTTTCTTCTATTTAGAACCTAAAATTTTAGTTTATTTAGCATCTTTGGTGTCTTTACAATTCGAAAATTCTAGTGTATGAAATCTTTAAGATTTTTAGAATGTGTTGAGTCTTTAGAACTTTTGAAAGGTTTGAAACCTTTTAAATATTTCAAACATTTGGAAACTTTGAAATTTTTTGAATATCTACAATCTTAACTTTTGAAATTTTGAGATTTAATATTTTTTTATTTTCTTTTAATTTTTGGGAATTTTCGTAATTGCAAAATTTTCAAAATTTCCAGAATGTTCAGATTTTCCAGATTAACCCAATTTTTCAGATTTTCGAAAGTACACAAAATGACCAGAATTTTGAAATTCAACTTTTCCAATATTTTCAAGATTTCTAGGTCTACCACATTTTCCCCCCACTTTCTAAATTTTTTCTGAGTTTCTAAAATTTATAGATCTTAAGAGTCTAAATCTTTGGAATTTTTCTAATCTTTGAAGCATTTTTCCGATCTTTATGATGTTTAGGTCTTTAAGATTTTTGTTTTCTTTGGAATTTTTAAAATCTTTGGCATATTAAGAGTTCACGCGGTTTTTACAAGTTTCAGAATCTTTGTCTTTTTTGTCTAAAACCTTTAGAATCTTTCAAGTATTCGAAAGAGAATTTTGGTTTTTGACTCCTTAGAGTTCTTAGGGTCTTTGGACTCTTTAGAGCCTTCTAATCTGTGGAAATTTTGACACTTTGGGAATTACTAGGAGTTTTATAAAGCCTAAAATTTCTGCAATTTCTAGAATCATTAGTCCCCCAGGTTCTTCAAAATTTTTAAGATTTTGTTGGATCTTTTTTATATTTAGAACATTAGAACTTTAGTTTATTTAGAGTCTTAAGTGTTTTTACAATTCGCAATTTCTAGTGTATGTAATCCGTGAAAGCTTTTGTCCTTTCTGAATCTTTCAAACCACTGGAAACTTTAGAATCTTTAGAATCTCCAGAAACTAGAATCACTAGAATTTCTATAATCTTTAGAGCTTTCAGATTTGCATTATTTTTAGATATTTCAGTACTTCTAGAACTTCAAAAATTTTTAAAACTTTGGGATTTTTATCGTCTTTCCAATTTTAAAATTTTTGGAATCTGTGGAATCTTCGGAATTTTTGAAATCCCTGAAATCCTCTTAGAATTTTTAAATTGCTGGCTTCTCTAGTTTTTTCTTAATTTTTTAAAATTCCTGAAATCATTAGAGTTTTTGGCATCCTTGAAAGCATTAAGATCTTTGAAAGAGTTGTAATATTTGGGACTTTCACAACATTTGGAATTTTTCCACAAAATCGGTCAAAACTTTAGAATTTCTGTGAATTTTAGAATTAACATTGTGTATATTTTACATTTATTCAGCAAAATTGTAAGATGGCGTCATCGATTTTTATGAGACAAATTTTGGTTAGACTTTTACCATTTTTTCTAAAAATTCTGTTTTTTTTCTGATTATATGTTGCCTTTTTTCTTAATATACGTCTTTTCAGGACAAGAGATTTAAAATATGTTTAAAGTGGTAAATTCTTGTAAACAGATATGGATCTTGCAATTAAGCCCCGCCCCTCGATCTGACAACGAATGAAAAATTCATCACAAGTGAGAATTAACATCGGGTCGGGTATGGGTGGGGCCTAATATTTGACTCTATTTTTTTCTTAATATACATAGTAGTCTTTGAACAACACGATACTAAAAAACATGTTTTTAATTTGTCGTAGGGAAATAAGGGTTTTGCAGTTAAGCTCCGCCCTCTCGACTCACGACGAATAAAAAAAATCATCACATAAATTTTAAAAATTATTATTTTTACATCTTTAAAATGAACGCTCAAAAAATTACACATCAAGAAGTGAAAAACCATGAAACTAAAAAATGAAAAATTGAAATAATGAAAAATTAAAAAATCCAAAAATTTAATACGGAAAAATTGAAAAATCCAAAAACTGCAAAATCAAAACATTGAAAAACCGAAAAATTGAAAAAATATAGAAAACTAAAAACCGAAACGAAAAATTGCATATCGAAAATTGAATAATTGAAAAATTGTACTCAAAATATATAAAATCAGAACTGAAAAACTGAACATTTTAAAAAATAAAGAAAACTGAAAACCCAATCGAAAAATTGCATATCTAAATTTGAAGACACGAAACTTGGAAAATCCAAAAATTGAAACATCAGGGAACGGAAAAATCCAAAGCTTGAAAAAATTCAAAAATTTAAAAATTTTACATTGAAAAAAAAAGGAAAAAATCATAAAATCAGAATTGAAAAAACGAAAATTTGAAAAAACGAAAAAGTTTTAAAATCCAATAATTGTAAATGGAAAAATTCTAAAATCGTAAAACTGAAAAAGTGAAAAATTTTAAAAATATTTTTTTTTATATCTTTAAAATAAAAGCTAGAAAAATTAGAAATCAAGAACTAAAATTGAAAAAATGAAAAATTAGAAAATCGAAAAATGTAAAACGGAAAAATTGTAAATCGAAAAATCCAAAAATTGTAATATTTGACATTAAAAAAAAATCAAAACACTGAAAAACCGAAGAATTGACAAAAATAAAGAAAACAAAAACCGATACGAAAAATTGCATATCGAAAATTGAAGACACGAAAAATTGGAAAAATCCAAAAATTGGAAAATCGAGAAACTAAAAAATCTCAAGTTGAAAAAATCCAAAAATTGAAAAATTTTTCATTGAAAAAAAGATAAAATTATAAAATCAGAATTGAAAAAACGAAAAATTTTAAAAATAAAAAACTAAAAACTGAATGGAAAAATTGCTTATCGAAAATTGAAGATACGGAAAATTGGAAAATCAAAAAGTTGAAAAAATCTAAAATATGAAAATTTTACATTAAAAAAAAGGAAAAATTACAAAATCAGAATTGAAAAATCGAAAAATTGAAAAACTAAAGAAAACTAAAAGCCGAAATTTCTACTGTATGTAATCCGTGAAAGCTTTTATCCTTTTTGAATCTTTCAAACCACTGGAAACTTTAGAATCTTCAGAAACTAGAATCACTAGAATTTCCATAATCTTTAGAGCTTTCAGATTTGCATTATTTTTAGATATTTCAGTACTTCTAGAACTTCAAAAATTTTTAAAACTTTGGGATTTTTATCATCTTTCCAATTTTAAAATTTTTGGAATCTGTTGAATCTTCGGAATTTTTGAAATCCCTGAAATCCTTTTAGAATTTTTAAATTGCTGGCTTCTCTAGTTTTTTCTTAATTTTTTGAAATTCCTGAAATCGTTGTACTCCTTAGAGTTTTTGGCATCCTTGAAAGCATTAAGACCTTTGAAAACCTTGTAATATTTGGGACTTTCACAACATTTGGAATCTTTCCACAAAATCGGTCAAAACTTTAGAATTTCTGTGATTTTTAGAATTAACATTGTGTATATTTTACATTTACTCAGCAAAATTGTAAGATGGCGTCATCGATTTTTATGAGACAAATTTTGGTTTTACCATTTTTTCCAAAAATTCTGTTTTTTTTTCTGATTATATGTCTTTTCAGGACAAGAGATTTAAAATATGTTTAAAGTGGTAAATTCTTGTAAACAGATATGGATCAAAATTCATCACAATTGAGAATTGAGATCGGGGCGGGTATGGGTGGGGCCAAATATTTGACTCTATTTTTTTCTGAATATACATAGTAGTCTTTGAACAACACGATACTAAAAAAGCATGCTTTTTTAATTTGTCGTAGGGAAATAAGGGTTTTGCAGTTAAGCCCCGCCCTCTCGACTCACGACGAATAAAAAAATCATCACAACTGAGATCGGGTGGGTGGGCGGGGCTTATATTTTGCCTGTTTTTCTTAATATACATAGCCATCTTTTCACAATTCCATTTTAAAGGCAAAATATAATATATATATAATGGTTTGTTTTGAGATTAAGGTGTTTATGACAAGATTAAGTGTTTCCTTTATCTGAATGAAGAGCGGAAATTTTGTAGTACTAATCCTGGCGCCACGTCCAAAAAATCCGTTCTTTTTTTAGTGCATGCAAATATCGCCACGATTTCGCCAAAATCACGCAATCCAACCTAGCTCAACCGAATTAACTCGATAACCTCTCCACCCGAGTCGTACCACTCACTCGTACTATTCAATTACATTGTTTACGAATTTCGCAGATAAGATTACTCGTTATTTTAACAGCCGAGTGCACTTAATCGTCACTTGATTGTAGTACACTGACATGATGAGTCCTTTTTGTTACACAGGAGCTCAGGCCCCCAAGAGGGCTCCCTTGCGCCAGTTCGCCCCCTTGCTGGTCGCCATGGTGGGGCTGCCGGGCCGAGGCAAGAGTCTCATGGCCAAGCGCCTGACCAGGTACCTCAACTACACCGGGGACGTCTGCAAAGGTAAGCTGTTTACCCCCACTAGCTCGAAACTGTGCTCTCCTATGTATCACAATTCATGAGGTGTTCTGGATGAGGTTCAAGTCACACAATGTGGGTGTGTTTGTTGTCATCTTTTCGGGCTGACGCAAACTTGAATCGTGTTGTTTACACAATATTTTTTATTGGTTTATGGTGCGTTTGCACCTCATCCAGATTAGTAAATTCCACGATACTCGAGTAGGAGTGTCGGATTAGCGATAAGTTATCAACAACAACAGCATACTTTGCGCTCTATTTATAACTAAACTTGGCTTTTATCGTTTAGTGTATGACATTAGCGACTACCGCCGCAAGCACATCAAGAAGTATGCGTCCCACGAAATGTTCCGCGCTGACAACTTGCCAGCTTGGCGCATCCGCCAGCAAAGTTTCCGCGAGGCGTTGGAGGAGGCGGCTTCGTGGCTCCAGGAGCCCAACCACCACGTGGCCATTCTGGACGGGCCTAACGTGTCGCGGGCGCAGCGCGAGGAGATCTACGACCTGGTGTACGGCCAGCTGGGCTTCCGGGTCATGTTCATCGAGTGCGTCTGCGAGGACCCGGTGCTGCTGGAGCGCAACTTCAAGGTATGCTGCTTCAAGGGTTGGTAGTAGCAAATTACTAGTATGATTTTTAGGAGATTCTGCAGTACAGCGCCGACTACAGGGACATGGCGACCGAGGAGGCGCTGAAGGACCTCACTCTGAAGATGGCGCACTACAAGGCGCAGTACGAGTCGCCGTCGTTGGGCAGTCACTGGGAGTTGCCGTGTCCCATGGTGAAGGTGCTCGATAGCGGTGAAAGCGGGGTGGTGGCCCATGGGGTCTCGGGGACAAGGGAGAGCAAGATCTTGGGGTACATCTCGGCGGCCAAGCCCGTACAACAGACGCTGTACTTTAGTCGGGTAAATATATTTGTTTTGTCGACGTTTCGTGACCTCTGGAGTACGAAAAAAGTGGTCCTCCGTTTCTGTCAAAAAAATAAAATTGTGTGACATTTCTGAAATCTTGCAAACTTGCAAATTGTAGTAATTTGTTATCAGAATTTATTTGTTTATCTCTATCAGGAGATTTACGTCACCTGAAAATTTTGACTCCGTACTTGAGGTTTATCAATGCACTTGTAGTTTTTAGAGTTGTTTACAATTTTTCAAGTTCTTGATTTTTGTTGATCACTTTATCATTTCTTTTAAAATAAAAGAAAAAATTCGTTTTTTCGATTTTGAAGTCTCTCAATTTTTAGATTTTTCAGCTTTCCTTTTATACTTTTTCGTTCTTTCATTTTTGATTTTTCAATTTTACAGTTTTGCATTTTTTCCATTTGTTTGATTCGAAAAGTTAAAAATCGAAAAACTGAAAAATGGAAAAATTGCAAAACCAAAAAAGTGAAAATAAAGTTTTAAAATCCAATAATTGTAAATGGAAAAATTCTAAAATTGTAAAACTGAAAAAGTGAAAATTTTAAAAATAATTTTTTTAATCTTTAAAATGAAAGCTAGAAAAATTAGAAATCAAGAACTGAGGAAACGAAAAATTGAAAAATCATGAAACTAAAAAATGTAAAATTCAAGAAATGAAAAATTAAAAAATCGAAAAATGTAAAATGGAAAAATTGAAAATCGAAAAATCCAAAAATTGCAAAATTTGGCAAAAAAAATCAAAACACTGAAAAACCGAAAAATTGAAAAAATAAAAAAAACCGAAACGAAAAATTGCATATTGAAAATTGACGACAGGAAAAATTAGAAAATCCAAAAATTGAAAAAATCGAGAAACGGAAAATTCTCAAGTTGACAAAATTCAAAAATTTAAAAATTTTACATTAAGAAAAGAAAAACTATAAAATTAGAATTGAACACCCGAACAATTAAAAAAAAAAAACTAAAAACCCAAACGAAAAGTTGGAAAGTCCAAAATATTAAAAATTCGAGAAACTGAAACCAAAGTTGAAAAAATCCAAAAATATTACATTGAAAAAAAAAAAAAAACCAGAATTGAAAAACCGAAAATTTGAAAAAATAAAGAAAACTAAAAACCGAAACGAAAAATTGCAGATCGAAAATTGAAAAATTCAAAATTGAAAAATCTAAAGTTGAAAAAATCCAAAAATACATTGAAAAAAAAAATCAGTCAGAATTGAAAAACTGAAAATTTGAAAAAATATAGCAAAATAAAAACCGAAACGAAAAATCGAAAAACTGAAAAATAAAAAACGAATAAAGTTTTAAAATCCAATAATTGTAAATGGAAAAATTCTAAAATCGTAAAACTAAAAAAGTAAAAATTTTTTTTATATCTTTAAAATGAAAGCTAGAAAAATTTGAAATCACGAACTGAAGAAACGAAAAATTGAAGAAAAATCATGAAATAAAAAAATGTAAAATTGAAAAAATGAAAAATTAAAAAATCGAAAAATGTAAAACGGAAAAATTGCAAATCGAAAAATCGAAAAATTGCAAAATTTAACATTAAAAAAAAAATCAAAACACTGAAAAAATAAAAAAATTAAAAACCGAAACGAAAAATTGCATATCGAAAATTGAAGAACTAAAATCTGAAGTTGAAAAAATCCAAAAATTTAAAAATTTTACATTGAAAAACCGAGAAATTGAAAAAATAAAGAAACTAAAAGCCGAAACGAAAAATTGCATACCGAAAATTGACGACAGGAAAAATTGGAAAATCCAAAAATTTAAAAATCGAGAAACGGAAAATTCTAAAGTTGAAAAAATTCAAAAATTTAAAAATTTTACATTAAAAAAACAACACTAAAAACCGAAACGAAAAATTGGAAAATCCAAAAATTAAAAAATCGAGAAATTGAAACTAAAGTTGAAAAAATTCAAAAATTTAAAAATTTTACATTGAAAAAAAAATTTAGAAAATCAGAATTGAAAAACCGAAAAATTGAAAAACTAAAGGAAACTAAAAACCGAAACCAAAAATTGCATATCGAAAATTGAAGACAGGAAAAATTGGAAAAACCAAAAATTGAAAAATCGAGAAACGGAAAATTCTAAAGTTGAAAAAATTCAAAAATTTAAAAATTTTACATTAAAAAAAGAAAACTAAAAACCGAAACGAAAAATTGGAAAATCCAAAAATTAAAAAATCGAGAAACTGAAACTAAAGTTGACAAAATCCAAAAATTAAAAAAATTTACATTGAAAAAAAAATTAAGTATAAAATCAATTGAAAAATTGAAAAATCGAGAAACGGAAAATCCAAAAGTTGAAAAAATTCAAAGATTTAAAAATTTTACATTAGAGAAAACTAACAACCGAAACGAAAAATTGGAAAATTCAAAAATTAAAAAATCGAGAAACTGATAGTAAAGTTGAAAAAATCCAAAAATTTAAAAATTTTACATTGAAACAAAAATTATAAAATCAGAATTGAAAAATCGAAAATTTGAAAAAATACTGAAAACTAAAAACAGAAACGAAAAATTGAATATCGAAAATTGAAGACACGGAACATTGGAAAATTCAAAATTGAAAAATCTAAAGTTGAAAAAATCCAAAAATATAAAAATTTTACATTAAAAAAAGAGAAAAATTATAAAATCAGAATTGAAAAATCGAAAAATTGAAAAACTAAAGAAAACTAAAAACCGAAACGAAAAATTGGAAAATCCAAAAATTAAAAAATCGAGAAATTGAAACCAAAGTTGAAAAAATCCAAAAATTTAAAAATTTTACATTGAAAAAAAAAAAAATTATAAAATCAGAATTGAAAAATCGAAAATTTGAAAAAATACAGAAAACTAAAAACAGAAACGAAAAATTGAAGACACGGAACATTGGAAAATTCAAAATTGAAAAATCTAAAGTTGAAAAAAATCCAAAAATAAAAATTTTACATTAAAAAAAGAAAAATTATAAAATCAGAATTGAAAAATCGAAAAATTGAAAAACTAAAGAAAACTAAAAACCGAAACGAAAAAATCTAGAGTTGAAAAAATTAAAAAATTTAAAAATTTTACATTGAAAAAACGAAACATTATAAAATCACGATTGAAAAACCGAAAAATTGAAAAATAAAGAAAACTAAAAACCGAAACGAAAAATTGTAAAACCGAAAATTGAAGACACGAAAAATTGGATTATCCAAAAATTGAAAAATTTAAAGTTGGAAAAATCAAAAAATAAAAAAACTTTATAATTAAACAAAGAAAAATTATAAAATCAGAAGTGAAAACCGAAAAATTGAAAAACCAAAGAAAACTGAAAACCGAAACTGAAAATTGCATATCGAAAATTGACTTCACGAAAATTTGGAAAATCCAAAATTAAAAAATGAGAAACGGAAAATTCAAAAGTTGAAAAAAATTCAAAAATTTTACATTAAAAAAACAAAATTATAAAATTAGAATTGAAAAATCGAAAAATTGAAAAAATAAAGAAAACTAAAAACCGAAACGAGAAACTGCATATCGAAAATTTAAGACATGAAAAATTGGAAAACCCAAAAATCGAAAAATCGAGAAATTGAAAAATCTAAAGTTGAAAAAATCCAAAAATAAAAAAAATTATAATAAAAAAAAAGAAAAATTATAAAATCAGAATTGAAAACCGAAAAATTGAAAAACCAAAGAAAACTGAAAACCGATACTGAAAATTGCATATCGAAAATTGACTTCACGAAAATTTGGAAAATCCAAAATTAAAAAATGAGAAACGGAAAATTCAAAAGTTGAAAAAAATTCAAAAATTTTACATTAAAAAAAGAAAATTATAAAATTAGAATTGAAAAATCGAAAAATTGAAAAAATAAAGAAAACTAAAAACTGAAACGACAAACTGCATATCGAAAATTTAAGACATGAAAAATTGGAAAACTCAAAAATCGAAAAATCGAGAAACTGAAAAATCTGAAGTTGAAAAAATCCAAAAAGTTAAAAATTTACATTGAAAAAAAGAAAAATTATAAAATCCGAATTCAAAAACCGAAACTTTGAAAAAATAAACATTGAAATTGCCAAGTCTAAAAATTAAAACGTCCAAAAGTTGGAAAATCGAAAAACTAAAAATTGAAGAAAGGAATAATTTAAAAGTATGGTAGTTGAAGAAAATAAAAAACCAAAACGAAAAATTGCAAATCTAAAATCTGAAAAAATGAAAATTAAAAAATAAAAAACCTGAAAAGTCGAATAAACGAAAAAGTTTTAAATCCAATAATTGAAAATTGGAAAAATTTAAAATCGTAAAATTTTTAAAAATTTTTATTACTACATATTTAAAATAAAAATTAGAAAACCTGCAAATCAACAGTTGAAACGAAAAACTGAAAAAACATGAAACTCAAAAATGTAAAATTAAAAACGAACAATAAAAAAATCTAAAAGTTGACGAATTGGAAACCGAAAAATTGCAAATCAAAAAACTGAAAAATTTCACATTGAAAAAAGAAAAATTATAAAATTTGAAAAAAAAACGAAACGAAAAATTGAAAATCGAAAATTTGAAGAAACAAAAAATTAAAGGCATGAAAAATCGAAAAATTGCCAAGTGTAAAAATTGAAACATCCAGAAGTAGAAAAAATGAAAAATTGAAAATTCGAGAAATTTTAAATCGAAAAATTGAAGAAATTAGAAAAATCACAAATCGAAAAATTCAAAAAACGAAAATTTGAAAAAATTAAAACTGAAAAAAGAAAAATTGAAAACTCGAGCAACTCAAAAAAAAACACCGTATGGTCTGGAATTGGCAAACTTGCAAATCATTAATCAAAATTTATTCGTTTATGCCTCCCAAAAAATTTGACGTAGTCTCAAAATTTCGACTCTGTATTGTGTTTTATCAATGCACTTGTAGTTTTTAGAATTACTTATACAGGGTGACTAAAAAAAAGAATCAGGCAGAAAAACTGAAAAAATTGAACTCGAAAAAACAAAAAATTATAAAATCGGAACATGAAAAATTAGAACATGGAAAAATTTCAAATCGAAAATTTGAAAAAAAACAAAATTGCATTTTTTTTTAAATACAAATTTTTAAATAACTTTTGACCAGTAGAACAAAAATAAAACAATCAATTTTTGTTGTAGCATGGGGAAAGCGAATTCAACGTCGTGGGCAGAATCGGCGGCGACGCCCCCCTCTCACCCAGAGGCCGCATGTACGCCCAATCCTTAGCTAAGCACATCCACGCTTTAAACCTCCCTTCTTTGCAAATCTGGACTTCCACTCTCCAGAGAACCAAAGCCACCAGCGCCCATATCAACGCGCCTAAGCAGCACCTGCCCGAACTGGACGAAATCTTCTCGGTACGTCCCCCACATTCCGCTTGTAAACCCCCCAATAACTGTTTTTTTGTACAGGGCGCCTGCGAGAACCTCACCTACGAGGAGCTATCCGAGCGCTTCCCCCGCGAGCTGGCCATGCGCGACCACGAGAAGCTCACCTACCGCTACCCCCAGGGCGAGTCCTACCTGGACGTGATGCGGCGCGTCGTGCCCGTGCTCGAGCAGCTCGAGTGCGAGACCAACGTGCTCACCATCTCGCACCAGGCCGTGCTGCGCTGCGTGCTGGCCTACTTCCTGGAGACCCCGCCCGAGGAGGTGCCCTACCTGCACGTGCCGCTGCACACCATCATCAAGGTGACTCTGCAGGGGTACAACTACAACATGGAGACCGTGAAGATGCCGGTGGACTGCGTGGACACCAACCGCGCCAAGCCGCTCAACTGCTCCGAGGGCCGGAGTCGCGAGGAGGCGTTACTGACGCTGCCCGCGCACTACGAGTCCGTGGCCAGCTTGAGCGGCACGGTGGCGTACTGTACTTAGCTTAGTAGGGCGACATTGTTGTAAATGTTGTAGTCTTGAATGTAGGCTAGTTTTGTTACTTTGGCTTTGCGCGTTGTGTCACTGTAGCTGAAGAACATTTGCTGGACGAATCTACCTTCCATAGCAATAAGCGTCGGATAGTATTTAACTGTGATTTATAGTGCATTTTTTATGTTCTGTATGTGTTAACCGTAGGTTAAGAGTTTTATTACAAACGTGTATATATGGTTTCAAAATAGAAACTCAAACTCATTTTTTTTGTTTTATTAAAACAACGCATAAATTATTTCTCAAAATAGAAACTTGAACCAATAATACTCACTTCATTTAAATACTACAAAAAATCTAAAAAGTCGTCTAAATCGCCGATGCTTGCCGAATTGTCGCCGGTCACCTCGTTGGACGCCTCATACCGCCGGGCCTCGTTCACCGCCTCTTCCACGAGATCATCAATCCAGTCTTCGGCTGACTCGTTTTCAGTTTCGGCGTTTGACAAGTCGATCGTGGTCTCGGGAACCTTCTCCTTGACCACCTCGTGAATCCAATCGTCCAACTCCTCGCTTTCTTTCTCGCTCGAAAGATCCACACTTTTATCCATGTCTTCGAGCTTTCGCTCCACCACAGTGCAATCGTAGCCCACCGGGTATTTGCAGTTGAGGTCCTCGCACAAGTAGACGGCCAAACTCAAGTTGACTTGCTGCAGACTCAGGTTTTTCTTGCAAAGGGGGCATTTTTTCTGTAAAGAGGTACACATAACCTCAAATTTCACAATTCCGGAAAAACGAAATAACTACCAAATGTTTGTGACAGATTTACTTACATTAGCCATCAGTGACTAGTTCTGCGGTAGATTTGCCATTTTGAACACCTTTTAACGTGAAAATGTTGTAATTTGTTTATTGTGGTTAAATAACACGCGAGGTTGACAAGTGACAAGTGACGTTTAATTTAAATTTTCAAGGAACTGAGACAGCGCCGAAAAGTGTAGTCGAAGCGGCCAATAGTGTGTGGATAGAGCGTCACGTGACTCAAATAGGGTCGTGCGATTGGTGAATCTCAGTGTGTCGTTGTAGGAGAGGCTTCGACCCCACAATTTTGCTTTGTTGTGTCAAAGTGAAACGAGTAGTGAACAGGATCAAAGTATGTGGTCGCGAAAGTTACTAATTTGGTTTTTCAATTTGGTGGTGTAATACGTTCTAGTGAGAAAATGAAAATTACTAGTAATTGACTGAAGGTCAATTTAATTATGCAAGTGTCAGTTGGGAAATTGGTAAAACGCTAATCAAAATTTGGCTAATCATCCCTACCAATGATTTGTTGTCATCTCCAAAATTTACAGTAGTAAATATTATTTAAATTTTATATAATAAGATATTTCTGCACATTCCCTGTTGAGTTTTATCCCAGACACCCAGATTTTTTGAGAAAAAAACATTCAACATCAAAAGATAGTCATTAGTACCTGCTAAGATAAAACTGATTTTGGCAAATGACATAGCCTTTAAAAACGAGAGGGTGGGTGGGCGGGGCTAGTATCTGCTAAGATAAGACTGACTTTGATAAATGAGATACCTTCTAAGAAACGAGAGGGTGGGTGGGCGGGGCCAAAGAATTTGAAAGTGCTTTAGAGCCTCTAGTGTCTTTTCTTACAATAATTAAATTAAATTTCTTAAAGGATGCTGTAATAACCCAAACATTCCGCCTTAAATTGACATGTGAAAAAAAAATTGAAAGCAACAGAACAAAATTTTAATAAAAATCTATGCAGCGGCAGCGGCTCCAAAGTTTGTTAAATTGTGTTAGAACCAGTTAACGATTAAAATCATAACATGAACTGTGAATTTACAAACAATAAAACAAATTCACACCATCTTCTACCAACCCTCGAACTAAAATTCCAAGCAGAACTACCAACTACCAGAAAAAGAAGTAAACGTGCAGACATTGAAGATTTTTATTGCTTTTTTATAAAACAAAAAAGTCAGTTTTTGTCGTGAAGTTTTTTATGCATTTTTTAACATTTCACTTGAATTTGAAGATTATTTTTTAAAAAGTTGCGGATTTCTAAAGATTTTGACCATGATTTCCGCGGATTCATATAGAAACCGCTGATTTTGAGATTTTTACAAAAAAAAAACTCTTCAATGTCATATTTTCTTAAAAAAAAAAGATAAAGTACCTTATAATAAATTAAAAAAAATTGTAGGGTGAAACCTACCATTTTATTTACTACTAGTTGGTCCCTTTTTTTGGTATTACACAGGCTGTTTGAAAAATGGCGGATCAACTCTTCAGTACATTATGTACAGGGGTTTCGGAAGTCCCCAAAAAAAAATAATAATAATAAAAAAAAATCTTTATGTTTAGATTACGAAAAAAAACCGTAATTTTATAAAAATAAAATTGGTAACACTGCGTGAATATCTAACATACCCTCTAAGAAAAGAGAAGGTGGGTGGGCGGGGCTAATACCTGCTAAGATAAGACTGATTTTGGCTAATGAGTTATACCCGAAGAAAGGAGAGGGTGGGTGGGCGGGGCTAATACTTGCTAGGATAAGACTGATTTTGGCTAATGAGTTATACCCGAAGAAAGGAGAGGGTGGGTGGGCGGGGCTAATACTTGCTAAGATAAGACTGATTTTGGCTAATGAGTTATACCCGAAGAAAGGAGAGGGTGGGTGGGCGGGGCTAGTATCTGCTAAGATAAGACTGATTTTGATAAATGAGATACTTTATAAAAAACGAGAGGGTGGGTGGGCGGGGCCAAAGAATTTGAAAGTGCTTTAGAGCCTCTAGTGTCTTTTCTTACTTAATAATTAAATTAAATTTCTTAAAGGTTACTGTAATAACCCAAACATTCCGCCTTAAATCGACATGTGAAAAAAAAATTGAAAGCAACAGGAGGACAAAATTTTAATAAAAATCTATGCAGCGGCAGCGGCACCAAAGCGCTATAAGAGCGTGGCGATCGAACTGTCTCAGTTTCATTCTAGAACACACCTGACGTACCTATAGGGGGCGTTGTAACACGAGTGGAGTTTGGGGCTCCTGGTTATGGCTCTTCTCCCCCCACGACGGTGATTCTAGCAAGCACTCACTACTATTCTAGGTCTGCATCCTTTGTGCAGATGGCGCGACCGCCAGCTCGACAAGGAACCGCGCACTCCGCTTCCGACACGTGCTATTGTGTTATTTACCTCAGTTCCATTTCAATGTTCAAAGTGTTAAAGTTTCAAAAGAACAATAAACAACATTTCAATTCGTCATACATTCTCGTGAAATTTTTAAACAGCAAAGAATTCTTGTCTAAGATTAAGATTGGTCATCAGACAATTTATATGTTGGAAGCATTAATCAACAAAATATTTACATAAAAAAAAGTAGCAAAGATTTATAAGAACAAAAAGATCTGGTGTGAAATAAAACTTGTGCAGACAAAAGATAATTACGTGAGGATAGAAACTGCAAAACATGAATATTTAGGTTCAAATTATACAACAAAGAAGATTACTGGGGCTAAAATTGTGAGATAGAGAAAAACTGTATGAGGTGAAAAATTGCAAAACTAACAAAATTACATGAGGTTAATATTTTATGTCTATTCGAGTTATTCGTAATTTGGTAAACAAAAAATGAGTCCTGACGAAGTGAATTTCATGAAATCTCCTAGCAAGTGCTTATCTAAACAAATCTAATGTTTGTTAAATTGTGTTAGAATCAGTTAACGATTAAAATCCTAACATGAACTGTGAATTTACAAACAATAAAACAATTCACACCACGCGTTGGCGTCGGTCAAAAATTCACCTATTTTCGCTTGGTAAAAACCCGGGAGAATTACCTACGCGTGTTGAGCAAACTGTGGTGTCGTCGTTACGATTAAATTTCGTTAAACAAAGGCTTTCTCCTTTTTATTAACTACCAAACCAACTAAACTTAACCTAGCTAACTCACCACGTGGTTACACTCACAACAAACATACCAAAACTGATCCTCTCACCTCCCTACCAAGCCGCCATCTTCTACCAACCCTCTAACTAAAATTCCAAGCAGAACTACCAACTACCAGAAAAAGAACTAAACGTGCAGACGTAGAAGATTTTTTATTGATTTTTTGTAAAACAAAAAAGTGACGTTTTTTTATGCATTTTTTAACACTTGACTCCATTTTGAAGATTATTTTTTAAAAAATTTTCTCAAGATTTTGATTATGATTCCTACCATGATTTTTACAGAAAAAATAAAAAAAAAAACACTCCGACGTCAAAATTTCTTAAAAAAAATAATAAAGCACTTTATAATAAATCAAAAAACGAAATCTGGGGTGAAACGTACCATTATACTTACTAGTAGTTAGTCCCTTTTTTGGTATTATACAAGGTGTCTGAAAAATGGCGGATCAACTCTTTGGAAGTCCCAAAAACATAATAAAAAAAAATCTTTATGATGTAGATTACGAAATAAACGTAATTTTATAAAAGTAAAATTGGTAACACTGCACGCACCTAATTCGTTATTATCTCCGGCTTAAGTAATAATCAACTAAACACTAGAAAAGATGCTCAAAATTCCTGCCTTGTGCATACAAGAAGCTCGTAATATTGCCAAATTTTGATCATTTTTTCTAAAAGTTAGTCATTAGTACCTGCTAAGATAAAACTGATTTTGGCAAATGACATATCCTTTACGAAACGAGAGGGTGGGTGGGCGGGGCTAGTACCTGCCAAGATAAGACTGACCTTGGCAAATGACATACCCTTTAAGAAACGAGAGGGTGGGTGGGCGGGGCTAGTACTTGATAAGATAAGACTGATTTCCGCAAATGACGTACCCTCTAAGAAAAGAGAGGGTGGGTGGGCGGGGATAGTACCGGCCAAGATAAGACTGATTTTAATAAATGAGATACCCTTCAAGAAACGAGAGGGTGGGTGGGCGGGGCTAGTACCTGCTAAGATAAGACTGACTTTGGCAAATGAGATATCCTCTAAGAAAAGAGAGGGTGGGTGGGCGGGGATAGTAATTGCTAAGATAAAACTAATTTTGGTAAATGACAGGTCAGGTGAAAAGTTTCCAAAAATAGAACGCCAAAGTCCCTCAAAATTGAGTAAGCAGTTAAAAATGTTTGACGTATCAAAAATTGTCAAAGTTTTCAAAACCCTACGTTTAAAACGTTCGCAGTTAATTTTAGGTCCCCTGGTGCTTTATTTTCGGATAAATTTAAAGGAATCTGATGTTTTGTTGCTGGATGAACTTAAAAAAATCTTTTGAACTTTCAGTATTTTATTTTTTATGAATTTGAAAAAGTCTTGAGTACCGAATTGTTTTTTTTTTTATTCGGGAGACTTTTGGGTACTCATGGTGTATTATTTTGGGAGCCCATGGGGATTTTTGTTGTAAATTAAGTATTTAAAACAGTTTTGGGGGACTTTGGTGTCCTATTTTTGGAAAACTCTGATCTGACCTGTTTTTGAGTTAATTTTGGTCTCCCGTGTTGTTTTTTTGAAGAATTTAAAAAACCCTTGAGGTTGTACGTATTCTTGTTTGGAAAGAATTTGAAAGTGCTTTGGAGCCTCTAGTGTCTTTTTTTATAATAATTTTTTAATTAAATTTCTTAGAGGATACGTCTTTTGCCAAAATCAGTTTTATCTTAGTAGGTACTAGCCCCACCCACCCACCTTCTCTTTTCTTAGAGAGTATGTCATTTGCCAACATCAGCCTTATCTTAGCATGTACTAGGCCCGCCCACCCACCCTCTCTTTTCTTCGGGTGTATCTCATTAGCCAAAATCACTCTAATCTTAGCAGGTACTAGCGTTTTGTATTTTTTTCTTCTTAATATGCAGTCTTCTTTTCACAACAAAAAATTGAAAACATGTATAAAATGGTAAATTTTATCCCACACTCTTCTCTACAAATTTACAATTTTTACGCATA